TGGTATTTCTGGGCTTTGATTTTTTAAAACATACTCTTTAAAAATTGAGCTGATGAACCAAATGTGAGCTGACATCCCAGTGAGGACAATGAGGACGTCAGCATGTAGTTGAACTTACGGCATTTTCTGCTGATTGTTATAAATATCTGAGGCTGATGTGCAACTAAATATTTTATGTTTCATAGAGCTCTTCCTCAAGTTATAAACAATGTTTGCCCTGAAGGTAGCTGGGTGGCGGAAATGTGAGAAACCTGGAAAACAATTTCAAATCCTTTTATCCCCTATGTTTTACTAGCAGCCTGGAACACATTTCAAGTGCAGCTGAATCAGTAGCTGTAGGCATGAACCCCGAGGTAAAGAAACCAGTTTCTTAATGAGGTTCCAGAAATGGACAGTTTTCTGCGCTGGCTGCTCTTTGTAGAGGATGCACAGACTACTTTCAAAAGCTTGCAATTTTAAGCTACAATTACCGGTTTAGCTATAATAAATATATCTTACTTTCTTCCTTCAGGAGGAAGGGATGAAAAACGTGGTATGTCTTAAAGCAAGATACACTCCATACATAACTGTACAATGCACCTGGAAGGAAAAGCACCCAGCTGGGTCAGGGCCCGGTGCTAGTGTGCTTTGAAGCAAAACTGCAGTAGGCACAGAACTTTAAAGCAGAAAGACACAAGAGAGACAACCTTTTTGTATTGTGCGTCGCTCCCTTTTGTCCTTTTCCCCCTATAGTCACAGAGACTAGGGTACTTCCTACTGCCTGCTTTATCCTGTAAACGTCTGCTCCTCTCTTGCCCAGTGCTGCATATCGGACCAGCTGGGAATCAGAGCCTTACCAGAGAGTGTTACTAGAAACTTCAAAAAAGGGAAGTGCCCCTTCTCTTTCCATTAAATCAAGTGCAGTGTATTCTTGCATGTTAAAGGACTGTTTTGTTATATTCCCCCTATTCAATACTATCCCTTTAACATGCACTGATAAAACCAGATACAATTTCAAAACCCTCTCTGGGAGCCCAAAGCTGGATTTTCGTATGCTGGTGAACTCCATGAATGTAAAGGCTGCTGTCCCCTGATGAATGGGGCTTGAAAGTGAGACAGGCTAGCTGTCTGCATTTCATTCAGCTTCAAACACAAAAATAGGCTGTAGCCAGACTGAAAAGTGGAGTGAGAGGTTTTACAATTTTTTGCCAGTCCTTGTATCACTAATAGTTTACAGGCCAATGAGATTTTTGTCTTTCTTTAGAACATGCAAGACAAGGATCAGTTGTGCTGTGCTAAATATCTGCATGTGCCAAACAGGAGTTTAAAACTGTTGTTCAGATAATTCTGTGGTTTCCATCCTCTGACTGAAGCTGGCTGCAACTTGTTGTTGGGATTTTTTTTGGTTTTAGCTTTAATTCTGTTCATCCTGATTGCTCACTTGCCCTCTTAACTTCTGAACTGCGCTGCAAAGCACAAGTACTAGTTAAGTCATGACTAAGTTTTCCTTTATTGAGAAGAGATGCTCAGTGGATTTAGGCAATGGTGAACTATGTTAACAGCACAACCAGCACGCTAAAAGCAAGATTATTTTTAACTCTGTGCATGAGAGCAAGCAGCTAGACTGGCTGGCAGATTGCTGTGACATACTCTGGATGCTCACGGAAGACCCCGTCTTGCTGTGCGTGTACTGCTTTGGGGGACAGTCCATCTGCTTGCAGTTTCAGATGTCAGGGGAGTTCAGCTGGAGCTGGGCTTCACTCTGGTCCCCAGTCTGCTCTTCTGCTGCTTCCTAGATACCTTGTCAGCAGCTGAAGTTGAACTAAATTTCAGACTGGATTCAGTGGCTTTCTGATAGACCTGCTTTTCCCCTTCCCCAGTTCCTGACATCAGCAACAGTGTAATCCCATGTATTGCTTAAGGGTCAGTCAGCTGCAGGGGTGTGACCTGGACAGCAAGGACTACTGCAGGTGGCTGCAACAGCCGCAGTGACAGGCTGTGCAGTTGTTGCAGATACCTTAAATAGAAAGCACACAGGTGATTCCAAATGTGGGAGAAGGTTTTTTGGATGACTCAGAATAATTCTGTCTTTGTGATTACTGTATACAGAAGCTGGAGTGACTCTGATCCTACTTAGGAGTTACTAAACTTTGAACCTGTATTTTCTTCTGTGTATTTTTCTCCTATACTCTTTCTTTTCTAGCCTACCTTGACCTTTCTGTTTTCTGTCCTTTTCTTACCCTACTCTGCAGCTGATGGAGCAGAAATCAACTCTGCCTCATTACACAGTGACCTAGAAAGCCAATAGCTTTCAGCAAATCAGCAAATCAGTACCACCTGCACATCTGCCTAAAATAGATTAATGAATTTATTAAAGTTTTGAGGAAGAGACTGTTTTGCTTTTGCTATTGCATCCTTTATTTTTCATTGTAGGTCAGTGCATAAATAGTTGTCTTTTTTTCCTAAAGAAAAAAGTTATTTTAAGTCAAAACACACTGATTTATGCTGATGCTGCCCATTCTGCATAACTGAATGCAGCTGAAATGTTGAACTGGGACTATAGATCATAGTACAAGAGGACACATACGGAGAAAAAAAAAAAAAAGACACATTTGATTTTGGGAGACAAGCAAGGAGCCTTGGTTGGTTTAACTTGCTACCTGACATTTTCAGATTTGCCACGACTGGCACAAAAGAGAGTAGGAGCAATAGATCTCTCATACCCAGCTATTGAATCCATTTCTGTGATCCAGAGCAGCCCTTTTCCTGTCGTCCATAAAGTTAGGGTTAAAATTCCATAGCTAGTTATATACAACTTTTACATAAAAAACCATTGAATGCTTCAAGAAGAAAATAGTCATACCTGAATGTTCAGATCTCTCCTAGAGACATGTTATGTGGCAGTGCTTACAGAATGTAAGCAGCAACACCACGTCCCTGCTTCTCATCCTTATCCTAATTTACACTGTGCATTCACTATCGTGTTTAGTCTGTTGTCACTGTGCCTTTTGTAACACAGAACTGAGTCCTGAAGGCCCAAAATTCCTGTTAATCCTCATCAGTATCACAGGGTTTAGAGCCAGAGGCTCTCGTGAAGATTAGTAAGAGGACAGTAAGAGGACGTTTTGTGAAGATGGAAGGAATTTGCTGGGGAAAGGACCATGTTTGATAAAAGGACAATTAGAACCAATCTACTACATTAAAGAATTGGATAAATAATATTCAAAGATGCTTATATTCCAAATGTACAACAAACATTTGTTCCTTTTTGAAGGAAAAAGATAAACTAAAATCCATTCTGTTGCTTAATCATAACTCAAATACATAAGTTGGAAACTATTTTGTAAAACTTACTTCTTATCAAGAGCCTTGCTTTTCCTGTACAGTAAGCAGTCATTGCTAAAGAGCTGACTAGAAAGGCTGATTTTGAGAGGGGAACACTGTTGTTCAGCTGTCAATTTTCTTTAAAAAATCGTAAAGCATAAAAAATAGTAAGCTCACAAGCATAACTCTCCTTCCATTGGTTCTACCATACTTCTGAACTGGTGGGGCTGTCAGTCTGTGACCACTGATGCACTCTCAGACTAAGTTTTGAGAAACAGCTTCCCTCTCCCCTCCCCCCCAATGTATTGTTTTATGCATATGTATGCACACAGAGCTGATGCTCATCAGTGAGCGGTAGCTGAGCTGGCTTAGGTGCCAAAAGGAACCGAACCGTTTACTAGCTTACCAGGAATGCTAGGCTGTGACTTCTGCAGGTTAACACAGCTCACCTGCCTCCCAGACCTGAGCTTGCTCAATCGGCAGCATGCCGTATTGCGCCATAAAGGCCAACCTTCAGGTTATAGTTTCTAACCTAATGTACCAGGGTAAAATAATTAAGAATGTCTTCCTGCCCTGCCCAGTACCACAGCTGCCTGTTAACAACCTTGTGCCAATACACCAGTTTCCTGGAGCTGTGCATGAAAAAATGCAAGCTAAAAATTCCTTACAGGGGGTGATATCTGAGGATTATTTGCAACCACGGCATGTTAGTGTTTCTCCTTCACCCCACTCCTTTTACAAATGCTTATGAAGAACTGAAGAAGCAATGAACCAAAGTGTTGGCTTGGACCTGTTTTATACCAGTTCCGCTACCTAGCTTGGCTGTCCGTGACTGTAGTAGAACTCTCTCAAGTTTCTTTTGTTTCAAGTTAAAGCAAGCTAATAACAGTTTCCTGATTGTGGGGAGGAAAGGGAACTAAGGTTTCTCAATTTTTTCTGAAAAATTCAAGGAGGTCCTAGCACAGAGGTTAATAACCAAGATGCTTCAAACAGGAAGCAACAAGAAAATATTCATCATTAGAAGGCTTCTGCTGTATGTTTACTGCGGACAGTGAGCAAACTACTTCCAAAGGCAATGAGCCAAGAGCTGCTGCAGCAGCTTCAACAGCACTGTAAAGTCTGAACCTTTGCCTTATTTTGCTTAAGTCCCAGCTAGGGAAAATGAAGTATTGTCTGTGTACTACTCCAAGCAGTAGTAGGGAGGATCACTTGCAGCAATAGTGTGACTCAACGCAAGATTTGCCATTTTGAAAGGGCAAGAGTACATTTTAGTCATCTTAACAATCCCACTTGGCTTCTAGACAAGTAGCTAGTTACAGAAGGCTCTGTAGTGGAGATATCTATCAGCTGGGCAGACTCATCCAAGCTGGTTGTATGCTGCAGACCAAGTCTAAGTATAAACCTAAAGCCTGTTTTAAACTCTGTTTACCCTCTCTGTCTAACAACATCCAAGCCAAAAACTCAAGTACTCAGATGTTTCAGTTCAACCTGAAATGGGAACCCAATAGTGAAAATGAAATGCTGTGAACGACTGACTTCGCCATGTGAACACTGGAATCATTAATGCTTTCCTTACTAAATCACACAGCAGTAATGTTAGTATTTTAAAGTCCATATAATGTAACTACACAGATGTCAATGTCATTCTTGTTGATACCATCTCTTGATTTTTTTTCCCCTCTTTTTTTCTAGACTGTTCTTCAGGGGATTATTTTGCTACCCCTCCGTACCATATGCATTGCATTCATTTTACTGCTAGCATGGCTGTTTGCATCAATTGCAACTTTCCGTCACGAAGGAAAAGGATCTGTGCCGCTTAAAGGATGGAGAAGGTAAAAAGTGACCAATATTTGTGAAAACTCTGCTTTTTTTTCTTTTTTAATAACACAAAGCCAGTATCTAAAGCTTACACACACACACACACTCCTTTTCTTCTTTTGGTTAAAGAGGAGTCCTAAGTGAAATCTTAGTTTTACCCATCTAGGTGAAGCAACTTTTTGATAAGTGTGTGTTATAACAGTAGCGGAGCTTTTTAAATAGGTAGATTTTCAATTGTCTTGAGGCTAAAACAAATCTGTATAAAAATCTTTATAGACTATTTATAAGCCAGGACTTACTTTAGTAATAATACTGATAGGAATATTTGAGACAAGAAACTCATTAAGAAAAGTGTTTGGTAATATTATAAAGGCTGAATTTCTGTGCTGCCCTTGAAGGAGTGTTTTACAGCTGCTTCCGTGGATTCTGGGTTTCCATCGCTCAGCTTCTGACCTCAGAGTAATGAAGTTTCCTTCTCGTTGTGAGGCACTGCAGCTGCACGCAGGAGGAGACACAGGAAGCAAATTCTAACAAGGCTGAGAGATTACGGAGAGTCCCATGAAGAGAACATGTCCCCTACTGAGGGAACAGGTTCCAGTAGGGAACATTGTCATTTAATCTTACTTGTTAAAACTAATAGTAAAAGAACAGTATCAGAGTTAAGCAAGTTCTTACAAAAAGGACACTGAATCTGCTCGCAATAGTGTTATGCTACAATGCTATAAAGTATGGCAAGAGAAATAGCATACCTGGGGGGAGGGTTTAGTATATATATTATAGTATATACATTGCATTATTTTTAACATTATAATTGTTTTCAACATGAAAAGGGGATGTTGCCTTCCCTACTTCTTCCCCTTTAGGCCTACACTCCCTGTGCCTGGCCCCAGTGCTGGTGAGAACCAGGAAATCTTTCATGGGCTTCTGTTTTTAAAGTACAAAAGAAATACTAACTGTTAGATGGATGACATTTTTTTTGTTTCTTTTTACAAGGAGGATGATCCAGACAACCCTCTCACGCCTAACTCGTACCTTGTTCTTCGTAATGGGTTTCCAAGTTAAAGTAAAAGGGAAAATAGCAAGTCTACTGGAAGCCCCGATCTTTGTTGCAGCTCCTCATTCAAGCTTTTTTGATGCCATTATTTCTGCCCTAACTGGAATGCCATCAGTAGTGTCTAGAGCAGAGAACCTGTCAACTCCGATATTTGGCAGTAAGTATTTATGAAAATACAGAATGTTAGAAGTCAGCAATTTGACATGAGGCCAAAAATCTGATCTCTGAAAGTGACCCAGGGGCAGAGTTTTTTAAATTCTTAGGTTCCAAAGATACTGATAGTGATAAGGTATTTCCAGTGAAAACCCCGGGACAACTTGTCTTTCTCAGTTGTTCAAAATGTATAAAAGCGTGCTATTTCATTTCAGATATGAAATATAATATCACTTTAAATTTGCTTTGTACTGAAAGCATGTTTTGTAACTGCTCGGGCTAGGGGCTTTCTCTTAAAATTCTCTCGGTAGGTAGCTTGAGAAATCTGTTCGACTGCTGTCTTTTAACAGTGTGGCCCACAAACGTAGAACACAGATTAGTGAAAATTATTTCAAAGCAGACCATACTACAGTACCATATTTGTAAGTTTAAACATGCAGGAAGTGTTACACTTTTTTTTTTAAATGGGAGTCAAACCAGGAAAGAATGAAAGAGAAGTTACTCAAAAAGGAAATGCAGAGAATGGAAAAGATCAGATGACTCATGCTTTTATTATTTTCTCCTCCTTTTGGCACAGAAAGAATTCCTGTTTGCTTTATTACTAGAATCAGCTGTAGACTTTTTGGTGGCTGGCTGGCTCTTATCTCTATAGGGCTCTTAAAAGAACAAGTCAACAGTAACCAAAACTAAATTCAGCAGGCAACACAGAAAAGTGTCTTTGTAGGAAATAACCTAACTGATAATATATTGACCTTCTTGTAAATGTACAAGAGTGGGACATAGAAGATAAATCTTCCCCAAGTTTCTCATCACATCTCAACAGGTCCACACAACCCGACTTCTGACAAAATGAGTTTAGGGTTTTTTTTCCTGTAATTTACACACAAGTTGTGTATGCTTTGTAACTGAAAAGGGACATCTTACTTCTTCAGCATAGGCTCAAACTGCTTGTTGATTGCAGTCTGCATGAGTTAGGCCTGAGTGTGGCTCACGAGCAGAGACCCAATCAGGTCTTTTCCTTAGAATTGCATGGAAATGCTCAGTGAAAGATAACAGCAATATTAACAGAATGGTTTGGGTGAATTTGGCATGTTTATACCTACTGTAAAGCTCCTCAGCTGGCAGTGTAGATATATTTTCTGTGTCTTACCTCCCATTTTGCAGAATGAGTACAATAAAAATATTCTTATCTATTTAGTCTGAAAGCTGTTTGTGCAGAGTCAGTTTCCCAGTATGAGAATAACAAGTTTTTTGCTGCAACAGAGCCTTGAACCCATGTATCTTTAAGCACTAGCATAAGGCAAATAATTTTTTTCATTTCTTTCACAGCAATTTTAAGTTCCCTTCAGCCGGTATCAGTTTCTCGTCAAGACCCTGATTCACGAAAGAATACAGTCACTGAGATAACTAAGCGGGCATTATCAAGAGGCCAGTGGCCACAGGTAATAAATATGCTACTACTATTCTGTCATGTATTCATACTCACCGTGCATCGTAATATCACAAGCGCCCAGCTGACTGGGATTCTGTTGATGTAAAAAGATGAAGTCAGCTCTCAGGTATATGACTGCTGTAGGAAAGAAAGACGAGAGGCTGGTGCCCCAAAGGTTTTGTCATGACAAATGGGTCAGTTAAAATCCAGCCAGTACCAATTGCTGTTCCAAAATGCAGATGCTCCTGGCCTTCTCTTTCCCCTATTTAAGCCTTCACATGCTGTCTTCAGTGTAGCAGATGAGTTGGTGTATGTGAATCAGTATTCTCAAGCTAGCTTATCTATGAGAAGCTATTGCAGAGCTGTGCTCACAACAGTTTAGGGAGGAACAGTTGATGAGATGAATAACCCATTCTGTTCAAGCAGTTCAAGCTCCAGCACGAACAGTACTTAAGCTTAAAATTTCAGTTTCACATTTGAAGAATAGCTGAGGTGAAACCCAGTTCAAACTTTAGGTTAATAATACATCAAACCCAAGACTTTTAGATTGGACTGAACTGTGGTAAGATTTTACCATGGAAGCAATAGTTACTGATTCTGCACTCTGTTTCCCATGGTCATTCCTCAGCAGCAAGCTGCTGTTGCATTTCTAGGCTTTGGATGGCTTTCCCTCCTAAAGAGTTAATGCAGCAGGGGTTGCTCTGGATGGGGAAAAATGTTGAGGCAGCAACCCTGCTGCTTTTATGACAGGCAGAGGGCTGGGATGGAAATCGCATCTTTTGCAAGAAGAAAAACCTGGAACAGTTGTGAACCTACTAACATCTCATTTGGCAGTGCCGCTCTGCTTTCTTCTCTCGCGTTGACTGTGGTCTGGTCATGTCTCCAGATACTACAAATACAGTATCATTGCCATGCCACTGGACAAATACAGTCAGTGATGCAAGACCTTTCTTCAAAGATATCCTATGTGGATTTGTGTATGCATTCATGCTTTGTGTTCTGAATTAGTTCTTAACTTGTTTTCTTAAGGGTTAATTTGCTTAAAATAAAAAATTGAAAACTCAAAGAAGTGACTGGTTAAGTAGCTGAAGTCACAAGATCTGTTTAGTCACGGTTGGCTACCTCCTAAATGATTGAGAAGAGTTACCTTTTCCTTCACTTTCATTCCAATAAATTACACTTGAGGAAAATTAAAAGAGGCTAGCAAAAATACGGACTTCGGTAGCAGGTATCCCTGTGGCAGCTAGACCTGAATGCACTGCTCTGCTCTGTGCTCTAGAGACTATTGTCTCTTGAAACAGAGAACATTGAAGTGTAACTGCTTCTCATCCTGAGGGAAGACCAACACTTGCCATTTCCTTGAAATGGCATTATTTAGACATTTCATGTATCATTTTTACTTAGCAAGCACCTTACAAGAAGCTTTTTAGTTAGTGTTTAGGCTACTTAATTTACTGACTCATAAACACATTTTTCTAAGCTGCCATAAATATTTTTTTTCCATTATTTTTTTCACTTTGTCACTTATATGGAGGATTTTAAATATGCACATGTCAAAGCTAGGGAGGGTTTTTTTTGTAATACTGTGCTTACAAACTACACTGACGCTTATAATTTACTAAACTGTTAAGGTTTAAGTGATTCCAACAAAGCACTGGTAGACCTAATCTCTGCTGAAAACAGCATGGGAGGAAAGGGGAATTGGCTTTACACCAATTCTGTACTTGGGATAAAAACTAGATCTATATTACGGCATAAATAGTCTATGAGTAAAGTAATCTGGAAATCTCCAAGACTGAGTCAGCAGTACTACCTGGAGTGTCACTGGGTGACTCCTAGTCCTGTGCCCTGGCCACACCTTCCTTCTACGTTGCTGGGGTTTTTTTGAGAAACTTGGCCACAAGATGGTGCCTGTCATACCCTCTTCAGAATGCCTGTGCTACATTCTCTCAGCCCAAAAGAAAAGGAGGAGTAGCTGGATTCCCCATTCCCTCTGCCTGAAACCAAAACACAACAGGCTGGGCAGCACTTGTGCTCATCAATAGCTTGATATTCTGATTAGTGCTTCTCCCAGCCCTGTACCAAAACAGAAGGGAAGGAGGGGATGATTACTTACTCTTTGGCCAGTCACTAGTATGTTTTCTGGGGCTTATGACATGCTAAGGAGAAACATAACCATTTTTGTGTCCATAACACCAGCAAACAATTTCTGATTACAGAATGCATAGTCAAAGACTATCTGAAAATCAGTGTGTGCAGCTGTCTCTGTCATACTTGAGAACAGCCTGTGTCTCGTGGGTAGGACCTAATGATGCCCTCTTTCATCCAGCCTTGACCTGTTCATTCGGACTGAAGTGGGAGCACATCTTGAACACTCTTTTGATCCAGATCACTTCTTGTGCTGAGCTGGTTTTTTTTAAATGCTGCTTGTGATATGAAGAACATAAAGCTTCCTCGTATTCCACAAGGAGCTGGATTTGGTGTGTCACGTTGCAGCTCACTGCGCATCTAGTATCTTTCAAATACTAATTCAGAAACCTTCTGGGTATCTGGTGTGTCGGAGTCATTCGGGTTCAGAGGGTACGTAGTGGTGTGTAATGCCTTCAGAGCTCTGCATCACAGATGCACATAGTCTGTCTGCCTTTTGCTGCTACCTCTCAAGCTGTGATCTGCTCATCACAGCTGGCATCTTGCCTCATGCTGATAGCATCTGTGCCTGTAGAGCCTCAAGAACCTTATGCACATCATGTCAGCCCAGACTATTGATGTTTATACACCCAGCAGTTCAGTAAGGAGCTGCCTGGCAGAGGAACAATTCTCATATCATTACCAACACTAAACATTTCAATTGAAACACTTAAAGCCTTTTGTACCGTATTTCTGAACCGATAAAGGCCTTTCCCCAGAACTCTCTTAAAAAGCATTTGCTTCCAAATCAAGATGGATCAGGTTAACAGGTTAATATTACTGTGAGTATCCTTCACTTATTTGTTCATTTCCTTTTGAAACAGTAATGATATTCTTGGTATGCAGTGTAACACGTCACAGAGCTTGCATAAATGTCAGCCTTTATGTAACTGGTGCTGAAGTATAATCTTTTTATGAAATGTGTGTGTATATATGTTGTTTCTTTCTCTTTAAATCCAAGATACTGATTTTCCCAGAAGGCACCTGCACAAACCGATCTTGCCTGATCACATTTAAACAAGGTGAGAGATTTTGTCGCATCACTGTTGGAAAATAATGTGTGAAATATTAATTTGGTAGTTCTACTAAGGCCTACACTTCTGCAGGTACATCATCCACAACAGCACTGTAGCAATGTCTTGCACCATTAAAGTTTCAGTGGCATTAAACCCACTATTGTATACTAGTCAGTTTATTTTTCTGATTTTTGGTATTTTGTAGAATGCAAAATATCTATGGTATACAGTTAGTTGGTTGAGGTTTTTTCTGGGTACAGTTTTTATCTAATTTATTTTTCCAGAAACTTGACTCTGATTATTATATGAACTACACATGCTACTTAATGATATTCTTTTAGCTCAGCTTAGATGCCTGTAAATTTTGCCGTGCAAGACTTAGCATCCAAGTTATGAAATCTCTTTGCATAGTGCTTAGGAAGGCACAGGCCAATAGATTATTTTTAACACAGAAAGGTACTTGATAGCACCACTGGTTATTAGGTTGTTGTGCTGCACTTCAGTTAAAGCCACATTGCTCTCCTTTCTTACTGTTGTACAGTGTCTTGGGTAGCAAAGTTACAACACCAGTACTATATGCTCAGATCCATATCACTTATGAAGATGATCAGAACAGAGAAGGGTTCAGGAAATGCTCAACAGCCCCGTGAGCATGTGATCCTTTGAAATGAATGCCAGTCAATGGGGAGATAATACACAGAAGATGAGTTTGAGCAGACCGGGAATCTTAGGCAGCTTTCTCCTTGAAAAGGAGACTAACCCTTTTCTGCCCTGACATCTTGCTAGTTGCACCACTGGTTTAAAAAAACCAAACAAACAAAAAAACCACACACCAAAAAAAAAAAAAAACAAACGCCACCCCACAAAAAAACAAAACAAACAAGCAAACACAAAACCCACTTCCCATTCTTCTCGCCTTTTAAAAAATTTCTCCTTCCAGATAACAAGTCTTACATGAATTAGGTAAAACTCCCAACTGCTGTATTAAGCTTAGTTTTAACAATCAATTCTGATTTGTGGTTGCAGGTGCCTTTGTTCCACGAGTCCCTGTACAACCCGTGCTGCTCCGATACCCCAACAAGCTGGTAAGCCGAACATTCTTCTATCACTAACTAGCAATATGGAAGTCAAAATCTTGACTTTAAATGGGACCTATGGTAAATATTTTGCATTGTAACTAAAGAATCTATTGTCTTGAACTTTAACAGGAGAGCTCCTGGAAGCAGTGTCATACAACCAAGTGTCACCATGGTGTAGTTGCTATTCTGATTGTGAAAAACTTACTGCTGGGCTTCTTAAATACAGTTAAAGTAAGAGGGAGCATGGGAAAGTATTGCAGCGGAAGTTAGAAACTTCCTGCAAAGCCACAGAGCGTGTACTTAGAAGTACAGAAAAACTTCCCTACTAGTCATCATTTTTTTTAAGCTCAAAATGCTCTTACCACGAAGGGGCTTGCAAAGTTTCTGAACAAAAGCAAAGTTGACCCATGCAGTACCTCCAACACCCCCTCCTTCAGGCACCTCAGGAGGGCAGCTTTGCAGATGGTTCTTCTCATGCAACTTTCCCTTGTCTTGCCAAGTAAATATTTACACTTTCTACCAAGCACAGGGGTGCAGACCTATGGCTCTGCTTCACTGACAGGTGCAATGCTGGGACATTAGCCTAGCAACTTGTTAACTCTTTTTATTTTCTGGTCATCCAGCAAATCAAGAAAAGACCAAACTTTTCATTCCTAACAGTTTTTAAGAGGAAAAACAAGTGATTGTTATTGTTGTTGTTATTGACAAAGATTCCTTTGTAAAATCCTTCTACAGATCATTTCAAAACAGTGAAGTGAACCACTAAAGGGGATTGGGTATTGCATTTCACTGATGGGATTTAAGGATCTGCAGTATGCGTTGTAAAAATTATATATTGGGAATAATAAATTTCTAATAAGAAAAAAAAGCAAAGCAAAAAAAGCAAAGAAAAAGCACGGTAGATTACTTACGCAGAAATGTCCTTAAAAACTAAACCAAACATGTTTATAAGGGTGCCTCGCTAAAGGGACTGGTGAAGTCCTCTGGAGAAGTCGTGCTATTTTTTTCCTACTTCTGTTGTTTGGATCAGAAGGAATGATTTAAAATATCTAAGTAACTATACAAATTTTATTCCCAATTGGTGGTATTATCAAAAGTCTGCCATACTTGTTTCTAGATTTTTAAGGCAAGGAATCCTAGTCACCTTGAAACCTTTATTAATTTTCACAACCGGGCTATCAAACCATCATCTGCTTTAACTATATTTGTGCCTGTTTTATATTGCAACTTATCTGCTCTCTTAACTTTCATCTGGTTTTGTCATACATTTCTCTGTTTTATTTTTTTCCTTAGGATACTGTGACATGGACATGGCAGGGATATTCACTGTAAGTTTTTTATCCCTACTGAAAATTACATGTAGAATTTTTTCCCCCCATTACTAAACAGTCTGCCAAACAGATTCAGCTAAGCCAAGACACATGTTCTTCTACATCTGTTTTTATGATTGGGAAATACTTGGGGACAATGCTGTCATGCAGTAGATTTCATATCTGAACAGCTAGAGAAAGGGTTTGCAAATGGGGAAGCGTTATTTCCAGCTCTGCCACCGTTTTGTTTCATTTTCTCCTATGTTTTGCACGTTGCCGTAGAGCAAAAGAAAGATTTGAAATTCTTTTTCTTTGGGGAACAATCACAGTCATCAAAACCCATAGATGTTTACCATTTCCTAGGTGGTATACAAACAAGAAAAAATAAATGTTAATTTATCCTCTCTGTTTATTCATTCCTCCATCTCATTTGAAGAGTCATATTTGAGAGTAAATGAAGAAGATGGGCAAAACAAGTATTAATTTTCCCCATCTTCCCCCATGCTAACATCTAGGATTCTTCTTTAGATTTTTATTTTTGCCTGACTCAACAAAAGCAATTGTCTCGAGATCCCAGTGAAGAGGCTATACATACAGTATCTGACATTAAAATAATGAAAAATATTTCAATAAACCATTTAAGCAATGGATCTGTGTTTATTTCTCAACACAGGTGGCCTTCTAATGCTAAAATATTTTATTAAAGTATTAATTTAAAGTATTAATTAATTTCAGCTGCACTGAAAATACTTTGTACCTTTTAAACATTAATTAAAATGTGGATTTTCAGAATCCATATACCACATACCCATATGTAGTGTATTTAAGTACCGTAGTACTGATTTACTAAGTGACTAAAATCTAAAGGAACTAATTTTGAAACATGTCTGAACTAGTGGAGCAGATCATAAGCACATTTTAAGCTATCATCAGTTAATTCTAGCACCTGTACCCTTGTAGAATGGACATTATGAAAGCTGACCTAGATGAAAATGTCCATCTGATTTGGTTTCCCAAGAATTTTTTGCTATTATTATTACTGCTGTTACAGTTATCAGCATACTGAGAGTAATGAATATTGCAAATTCAGTAGCATACTACAAATTTCCCCTATGAAGGGTTTATGCTGGAAGACTGAAAAGGAGCTATGTCTTTAGTTATGAGAGATGGTGTAGGAATAGGTGAAGAAAGAAATGAAATCAGAGGTATTCCTGTGGAAGGGAGGACACTGCCCATTCACTAACATTTGAGAACTCCTCTAAGCCTGGTGGCTGGATGATGAAGACTCAAACTGAAATCTGTGAGAAGATGAAAGGAACAGCTTGGCAAAATCATGGGAAGGGAAGGGATGGATGGGGTAGGATCTAGGTGTTCTTAACAAAAATGACGGGAACTGGGAAAAGAGCATCCCTTATGCAAACCTGCAGATCACAAAATGCAGAACTGTCACAGTCTTTTTTTAAAACTTCCTTGATATTGCAGCCGGGATGGGACAGTACCAGACTCCTCCTCAGAAACCTCCTGACCTAGTTTCTGCTTTCACTTACTCCTCCTTTCTTACTTTTGTGCCTTACCGGGAGGAAAACCTAACATTATGTGTTAGAAAATCAAGCATTAAGAATGGATTCCTGGAGAAAGTAGAAAGGATCCCTTAGTTCTTCTCCTGCCTTTTCTTTTTCTCTTTTTTATTTTGTCCAAAACAAGAACAGAAGAAAGACTGCTTGAAGGTTTAGAATTATTAGAATTTACCTGATTTAAAGAGCAAATGTGCATTTCTGCTTAAAAATCACAGTGAAAATAAGGCAGAAGTGGAAGTGATTATGCTTATCCTCTTTTACAGTTTCTTCCTCCCCCTACCTGTTGATACTAAAATTTGTGACGTCTTCTAAAAGCAGTGAAGGTCCAGAACATACAGACACTTCATTAACACATTTGTGGAAACACTACCATACTTTGCAAAACATCTAGCTAATACTAACAAATCCTTGCTTCAGTTCTGCAGAAACAAGTTACTGGTCCCATTTTGCAGATGAGAGAATAAAAGATAAAGTAATGCTACTTCTCAGAATCAAAGCTCTTAAAGCTTTAAAATTCAAGAGGTATTCACCTCTTTAAAGTAACATATATATATATTGTTGGCCAAGGAACTGTATAGTATTGTTAATATGCATGACAACAGACAACAAGTTGCCTGCTCAATGAGCAAGAAGCAGGTATAGACAGAAGCCCTGCAGAAAAAAATGTTGAAAGCAACATTTCAGGCAACTTCACTGCAAGGTACTTAAAAACCTTACCCAGTACTGGCTGTGGTTTTGTCAGTGCTTTAAAAAGTTTCATCTACTGACATGGAAATACTTTGTTGTTAAGTAAGTAAAATGTATTTTTCTTTCTCTTTCTTCCTTGCCTGCAGAAAAGAGCTATGCATAATGACGCTGTGTCAGCTCTTCACAAGAGTAGAAGTTGAGGTAAGAATTAGAAATATTTTTGTATTAAGATCCAGCAACCAGGGAATTTATACTTCAATATAAATGCATTATTCACATTATTAGTCACTGTTAGTGAACAATAAACAAATGTCTCAGAAACAAGAACAGAATGGTGGTAATATATTTAGATTTGTTGTCCGTATCTATGTATCACTTAATCTCATGAGTTCCTAAAAGAAAGCTGTCAGAAATGTCTTTACTTTTAAAGCATTGTAAAATCATTGCTAATTATGACCACATGCATTTTACAGATGTTAAAACTAAGATTTGTAATATGTTATGTTAAAGATAACAACTTCTCTATTTTTCCCACCTTCTCATTTCCCTGCTCCCTTCAAAGTATCCTTGTCTTTCTCACCATCTTCCCAGACTGAACTCTAAAATGCTTCTGCAACTAAGAGCTTACTTAAGGACTCTAGTACTCGCACTGGGGAGAAGGCTGAGCCTTGTATTATGAACCTCTTCCCTTGATCATTAAAATCAGCTGCACAGCACAAAGACAGACGAATGACAACTGAAACAACATACACAATTCGTAGTGTCAGTACACTTAGTCTAACTGCTCCCTGTCAGAGTCAATGTTCAAAACACAGCAGCGAGGAGCCACGTAACTGAGGTGCAATCGGTTTGTTTAAGTGTTGTATTTCATGTTCCATACCAGACCGCAAAGGATTGTCAGTGCAGACTAAGCTGGTTTAGGGACCTGAGGAATGGAAGAATTTCAGACAGGTTTTCCTGTTTATTTGCAAAACACAGAATTAGCAAAGTTGTGCGAGCTTTGTGAAAACAAGCAACGTTGCTACTCCTAACAATTAGCAATATGGTCTTTGTTGTGAAACAATGAAGTTCACCTTAAGGGAGCACCTCGTTACTGTGTACTAAAAAGGCAGTTCTCCTAGTGATTTCATACAGAAGGACGTATCTATGTAATTTATATATGTGGGAGCAAGAATCAGTTAATGTAGCCCTTCCAGTAGGTTTATTTTCCCCTACTTCAGAACAGAACTCAGCCTTCACAGTCAGAAAATAAATGTCATGTTCCAAAAGATGAAAGTGGAATGTGAAAAAATATGCAGCTTTCACAGCAGCATGTGTCCCCAAAGTGGAACTAATTTCTTAGCATCAATGAAGAAGTCCTTCCATTTCTAAAAAGAGAAGGGGGAGATTTGCCTGCGGAAGGAGGGATTAGGGACAGATATTTCCCTTGAGGTCCCATACTGGGAGGAAGTAGCCTCTCTGCTCCCATCAGTCTTGCACTGCCTCTACCTGCTGTGCCTAACAGTGCCGTACTCCTGCAGCCCAAGGGGGCATGTGCATGCTTGTCTAGTCATAATTCTAACAAACTGTGGATATTGAAGGTTAAACAGGGAACCTGACAGTGAGTTTTAGGGCTGCAAATGATACAGCATTTGGCAAATTCTGTAAGAAGAGAGATTAGGTCAAAAGCAGATCAGAGAAGTATTTTTGCTGCCAAAAGAGCTGTGAAGAATTTTTCTTACAGGACTGCAATTTGACAGGGCAGGTATGCTTACTAGTCCTCACCAAATAAGCAGTGGGGTGTGTGAGATCATGCATGCCACCTCAGGAGGCCAAGAACCCAAATTCTTCATCTTCAGCTGTGGTTTCTGGCAAACTAGTGTTATGAATAATTGTAGGTGGGTTTTCTGAAGGGGACTGAGGTGTTCTTTAACATACCAGAAATTCAGGTTGCTGTCTGAGCAAGACCTCAGCCTCAAATGATATAATGACCACGTTCAAGACCATGACCCATGTTTGCATAGATAAACTTCTTGGAATTATGACTTCATCTTACCCAGTGAAGACACGGTTTTCTGTGTCTGTACAGTGTGCCTGTGCTTCCTCAATTTAAGAGTTACGTGGCTTCTGAAGGGGAGTTGTATAAGCAGGGACATACGTCAGACTTGAACATATTTGGCAACTGCTTATAGAAGGAATGAAATCTCAAACCTTTGTGTGAACAGCTGGACCCCTGCTGTCCTTACAGGGCAGAAAGCTTTTAGCTATAAACAGAAAATTGTTATGGTTATTTGACAGATAACCAATTCCATAAACTTACTGGTGTTATCATAAAGAGGCAGCATTGCTTAAAAACAAACGTAAAAAGGTTGTTCAGGATGGTCTGTGTTTCTATGGGACAGTTACTGCTTTATTAGTGCAGCACCAGCAACTACAATGTAACTGAAGAAACATATTGATGCATAATTAGCAACTGTGTCTTCCAGTGAACCATGAGCAACACCTTAGACTTACTCTAGAATTGCTGTATGCAGGGGTGTAAGGGCGAGATGGCAGGGCGGGGAGTAGCAGAACTGGGATGGACAATTACTGTGCCTTTTCTCAGTTATGGTTAACAGAGCTGCAAGTGAACACTGTAGGCTGAAGCAGAAAGAACAAAATACTCCTCCACACACACTACTTTGCAAACAAACGGATGCTGATTCATGCCATGTTAGATAATATTTCATCTATAATACGTTTTTAGTGTAATGCTACTTCAACTTTGTACATATTAGCATTGAATCCTCAAGAGTAAATGTGTTGCAATTTAGATATGTGGGGTTTTTTCTAGGTTTGGGAGGAGAGGGGTTTGTTTTGTTGACGTTTGTTAACTCTCTGTTTGGAGTTCCAAAATCTTACAGAATTTGTATCCAGTTAGTGCTCTACTTACAGTTCAGAACTAAGATTCCTTAACATTTTTACCACAGAGGGAAAACTTACAGGAAAGTTATCAGTCACTTGCCGACAGATACAATTAACAGGTATGAGATGGGACTGCAGTGTGTATTTAAAACATCATATATCTTACATACACTATTCCAGTCTTATAAAGGATCTTTGAAAAGGAGTGTACAGTATTTCAGACTCACATTCTTACCAAAGTAGCATTTAATTTTCTAACTAAGTATGCATTTATTATGCTTTCCTTCTTTGGGGGTTTGATTTTTCGTCTTAAAGCAGCTTCTACCAATCTCTAAGAGGCAGGTTTGGACCAAATCTTATTTGTGTGGCTAGGGCAAGAGCCCGAGTGGTTTATAAGGCAGTTGAGACCTCTAGTGTCCAGTTCCTTCATTGCATGGATGAGTTTTTTTCCTCCTTTTTTTCCACCATTCCAAACAATAACAAGAAATTGTCCATGTTGCTAACAAAGTGGTGAGTATTGAACTGATTGGATAACTCCTCTCTTTCAGTTTCTGCCTGTTCATGTTCCTACTGAGGAAGAAAAGAATGATCCCATTCTTTTTGCCAACAGAGTCCGGCAAACCATGGCAACGTATGTAATCAGTCATGAATAAAATCTTTGAGAACTTTTCTTTTATATCCAGCAATTCCATATATATCCTAGCCATAAAGTACAATTCAGTCAAGTCCCACCCACGTACTATATGTAGAAATTGCTCTGGATTTTCACTAAGAGGTGTCAAATTGATATACTAAAACACCCTGATTGTTTTTACATGGAGCATAAAGAAGATTGTCTTCCATTGGAACATACTATGTTCAATTCATGGCAAGCTGGAATAAATTGCTCCCTTATTTGCTTGGCAAGAACAAGTGGGTGGTTTGTTCTCCAGTGTTACTGGGCTGCATTTACAAGACTGTAAATCTTAAAACATCATGACACTGTCGCAATGTAGTTTCACAGTACGGTTTCCCAGTTTCACAGAATGGTATGTATTGCTTTATCCTACTTGTAGCAGTGCAAGAATGAATTATCATTTGTTTCGTATATTAGCATTAAAGCCAAACTGAGACAGGGAAGGGAAACAGTCAACTAAAAGTAATTTTAATATAAGAAATTGATTTTTCTTTTTCCTTATTTTTGTTTCAGTGCTTTGAATCTACCAGTCACTGATCACACTTTAAAAAAAAAAAAATTAGCAAGAAACTCAAGTAAGGGAAGTTTAGCTGTCAGTAGCATTAATTACTGCAGTGCTGCAGGTGGTGGCAATCTACAACAGGATACACTACCTGACAACTGACTTGGCCACATGTATATATGTATACAACTTATGTACATAAACTATATGGAAATCAGAGATGAGGAAAATCCCAGTAAGAACTAGTCCCAAGTAATTTTTGTGGGCAGTGTTACAAGAGGAAAAATGCATTTTTCTACTCATTTATAGATTTATCTCACCAAAAGGTGAGGAAGGTAGAGCAGTACTTATTTTAGGCACTTGATGGTAATCTTGGTGACAAAATTTAAATTGCTTTTGCGGAGATGCACAGGCAGTGTGTGGTAGGAAGTAAAAAACCTTCTTTCCAGCCTGAGACTTCACCCAGTGGCTTGCTGTTCTTGGTTGTACTGGGCAGCCATGTTTCCCTAGTGATGTCGACTTTTTGTGTCTGGATACAGTGAAATTTGAGGACAGAACCACTTAATCATACAGTAGCTCCATCAAATAACCTAGAATGGCTGTGGTCAAATCTGAAGTATGTGAGCAGTGAATCTTGACTTATTACGTATTTGCTATATATCCGTTTATAGAACTCTGTCTGGAACAATCTTCAGTAGTTACATGGCAATCCTAATGATTCTTGCTGAGACGCAGTGGTGTATTCCTGCAGAAAGATCAGATACTTCTCAGGCTGTAGCAATACTAGCATTTGGGTAGAGAGTTAGCTAATAGAGCTGAGATCTATTCCCTTCTTTTAAGAAAATATCCACCCTAGAGCATGATGCAGCAAAATAATGCTGCATCTGAATTTATGGTAATGAAAAGCTCTCTACTAGACTAGCTTAGTAACTGGACAGATGATTCTAGGTTTGGGAAGTTACTCTAAGGAAGTCTAATATACCCAAGCATAGAACTGCCTGCTTTCAATATTAATAACCAGGGGGAGCAGTCCTTAAATGGCGATTTCATATAAAATAGCAGGCTGGAAGTACAGCATTTCTACTGCTGTACGCGCATGCTCTCTTTGGCTATTTTTCATCTTTGAACACTGTAATAAACTCCTACTGAAATTCCATTTGTCCAAGATCTGCTGTATAGAAATATCTCCTCTCCCTCATGTTTGCATAGCCTAAAATGGAATCATGTCAGAGAGCAGCTGGATACCTTTGCTGCTATTGCAAGTGCTTCCAAAGGAGGAAGAATTGGAATTGAGGAGTTTGCGGAGTACTTGAAGCTGCCTATTTCAGATGTCCTCAAAGAGCTGTTTCTACTCTTTGACAGGGTGAGTAGCTGGTTAACTGACTTCACATCTCAAAAGGATATTTAGTCTATTATGCCCAGCTTAGTAAATGCTTCTTGGTTAGCAATTCCTGTAGGCAAGATAGGTGACTCTTACAGTTTCCTTCTTAAGTTTCAATGGAAAAAGGTTAGTAGGTTTGTAACTTGTGAGATGACAGCCACCTCTTGGACCAAGCTGCTGCACCACCATCAGATTATAATCTTTGTGCTGGTAATGGCTGAATATTTCCTTTTGCCTACCCCAGATTTTGAGTTTATGTACACTCTGACAGCTTAATTAACTGATGTAGTTTTAAGTAGATAATTTAAGGCAGATTGAAGCTGACTAGAATATATGTTCCTGCTGTGTTTGTGAAGGGTGCTATTAGACATAATAAGGTCTCCCCTTGCCTATCTCCAGCCATAAAGGAGGCTACATGTTAATGTGATCGTTTAGGTTCTCCTCCATGGTCAGTGGTGATCTCTCCCATTTTCTACTTCTCTCTGAAGATGAGAAAAATTGCTCTGTGGATGTGGCCCCCTGACTGTACCAGAGGTATCGGTGACTAGAGTGTAACAGAGAATTCATCTTACTTCTAGGCATTCAGTATGTGCTACAGTGCAAGCAGCACATTGTACTGCAAATGCTTGCAAACTAGAGTTTGCTTCTTATCATAGGAGCTCTCCCAACTCAGCATCACTCTTCCTCATCAAGGTAGCTTTAGCAGTACCCTGGTCCTTGGGAGGTCATTGCATTGTATACGCCGATTAAAACTGTTTCAGGATTCTTCCAGATAAAAAGGTTTTACAAGCTCCAAAATAGAGAAGACTCAAATGTATTTCCTTAATTGCTGAATGCATTGAAGCTCTAGCAGAGCTATGTACTCATCCTTTCTTCATTCTTGCCTCCTCATCTTGGACTCCTTGGCTCCTATGAACATGTAGTCTGAGTCCTGAAGCACAGTACATACAATAGAAATAATGGAGTGGTACCCAAAATAATTAAGGGCAATCAAGACTCCTTTCACTTTCCCTATCTGACACAACAGCGTCAGTGACTAGAATTAGCCCTGTAATGTTCAATTCACTAAAAAGTTGAAGGCATAAAAGACTTCAAGAACAGACAAGCCTCTAGTAAGTTTTTGCTGCATTCATCTTTAAGGAGGTCAGCTTAACTGAGGAACAGTCACACTAATGTGGCAGGGCTCTTTTCAAATTGCTTCAATTATGAGCACAGGTATTTTGAGACTTCTGCTCTGTGGCTTTCAGCCTCATGGTAATTTTTTTTTCTAAAAAGATTCCTCAAATCACATACAGCTAACTGTTCAGAGAAGAAAAAAAGACATAGAGGTGTATCAACCATTGACAGAAACTACTGAGACTGCAATAACTCTGGCAGCTGGAGGCAAGCACAGACATGGTGCAGTCTAAGCACGCAGACAAGCTGTGTTTTGCCCACACCCAGCCCAGACACAGTACGGCTTCGGAGAGTTACAGAAGCACTGGATCTTGGAGTAACTGCCTTCAAAAAATCTTCACAATGTTCCTTGCTAAAGCTTTGCTGAGTGGAGGAAGTGGCGGTGGTCGTGGGGGAAGCCTTGCACATGGCCTCGGAGGTCTCCTAACAGGAGGTGGACGTGGAGGGAATCTTGGAGGACTTGTTGGAGGTCTTGTCAATCTTATAAGTGAAGCAGCAGCTCAGTATAATCCAGAGCCACCTCCACCTCCTCACAGTCATTTTATGAACGTGGAAGCTTATGAGAGTGAGGAAATCAGGCAGTTTCGTCGCCTTTTTGCCCAGCTGGCTGGAGATGATATGGAAGTGTGTGCCACAGAGCTAAGGGACATCCTGAACAAAGTCGTTTCCAGACATCAAGACTTGAAGACAGATGGCTTCAGCTTAGACACATGCCGTAGCATGGTCGCTGTCATGGACAGCGATACAAATGGCAAACTGGGCTTTGAGGAGTTTAAATATCTGTGGAACAACATCAAGAAATGGCAATGCATATACAAGCAGCATGATACCGATCAGTCAGGCGCTGTTGGGAGAGCTCAGCTGCCAGGTGCCTTGAAGGCTGCAGGGTTCCACCTGAACGAACAACTCTGCCAGGTAATCGTGCGCAGGTACGCTGATGAGGACGGCAGCATGGATTTCAACAACTTCATTAGCTGCTTGGTAAGACTGGACAGCATGTTCCGGGCCTTCAAGTCACTGGACCGAGATGAAGATGGACAGATCAAAATGACCATTGAAGATTGGCTGCAGCTGACCATGTATTCATGAAGGCATAGCAGAGAAGAATAAGCTTCAACTGGAAGATACACATGGAAGACTATAATCCTGTACTATAGAACTGTAGTCTTTCCCTTGTTCCAAGGCAGATGTAGCTAGCGATAGATAGCTCGGCTTAAAATGTTGTGATTCCTCTTGTGCATGCATTAGTCTGCTTTTTTGAAGAGTTTGTGTAAGTTGTCAGTTGGACAGCTGCCTAAGTCTGTCTCAGAAGAACTATCTCTAGACTCTGAAGTGAAGGAATATGTTGAAGGATCAAAGCTTAGTTATTTCTTCACGTAAAGTGGCTTGTATATGCGTATGACTATTATATAAAAAGCTCGTAACTTTGGTATTGCTTTGTGATGTTACCGTTCCCATTTGTCAGCATTCACTAAGCTGGAATAAAGCTCTGCTTGCCTGAAGGCAATCACCAGTAAAGGGAGCTGTGCAGTTATTTCTAACAAGGGGTAAAACATGAGAGTTGCAGTAACTATAACAATCAATGAATTTACATAATCATATGTAATTTCCTTCCTACTTCTGTTTTTTCATGCTTGTCTGCTGAAGCAAAACCTGAGTGGTACTGTCAGTTCTACCTGCTGGCCAGGACAAAATTGAAGACTCAGGCTATTTCTACAGCCTTTTTCTCCTTCCTACAATTCTATTAACTAGTTTTTTCTCTTTCCTTGAAGCCTTATTATAGTTATAATGAAAACAACTTAAAATCCTACATTTATATTTAGAGAAGCTTGCTGTAATAATGCAGTCACATAGCAGCCAGACAGCCAAAATCAACCTCTGGCTGTCTGAGTTAAATTTTATCAGGGTGCAGCGTCCCACTCAAGCTGGTTACGCAGTTCTGTCCAAGATGTCAATTTTTGAGTAAAAGGAAAAGGAATAACATGAATTGCCAGAGGTACATTTCTTTGAATTAAGGATTACATAGTTGATGAAAACAGCTCTTGCACTGCAATGTAACAAGGCAGATTTCTCAGCAGGGCTCTGCTGCTTTAAAAGAAAATTGTCCAGGGTGTGTACTAGGTGACTGGAATGTGAAAGGATGAGTGGAGCAGCCCAGCCTACTACAGGCAGTCTCCAGCTGTAAGAGTCCCCATGCCCCTGCCCTTCCCCAAGGAGACATCAGTGACTAACCACACAATACCTGCAGGGCATCTGAATATTAATGGGGTGCTGTGGTTTGGTTTTGTTTCTCAATTTCCATAGCTTTGATTTCTAAATCTTGGAGTTATGCTTGGCAGATAGTATTTTCCAAACTGTCAAAATCTCCTCCTTGATATACTTGCCCAAGACTTGTACTTGCAACTTAGGAAAAACTAACTTCCAACTTTTGCCCAGACTTTTTTCCTCCTGCACTTTGTTTAATACCAAAACTGGGTGTCAGAAACAGTAAAAATATTCATATTAGCCCAAACTGTCACAAAAGAGGTCTCAGTTCCTGCCTAATGGCATTCACCCCCCTTCCAGTTATTCAATGGAGAAGCACAAAGTTATCCACGGTGGCATTTGGGCTCTGAGTAATAGAAAACTGAGCACAAGGGAAAGCGTGATACCTCTAGGTGAGCACGGTCCTACCAGGTTTGCTTCAGAATTTCCCTTCTGACTAGTTAGAACTTGCATGTAGCAACAGGTGGTGGAATTTTGGAGTTACAGCAATAGCCTCTTAGATGATGAGCCTGGATATGAACATGAGAGTTGCATCTGGAGTTCCTCCTCAAATGGTCCAGTTGTAGCTTCTCTGTGGTAGCCCCGTAAGGGGCTCAGGGTTTACTTGGCTAACCAGAACAAGAATGACCGGTACACACACATACACACAGACACTTGATTTGTCCTGTTGCCTTACATAGTGAGAAAAAACTCGTTTGGGGGCAGTAGTACCTTAAACTTTATTGACTGCATCCATCTTGCAGAGCTTTGCCAACTGCATAAAGCTAACTGATTATCTAGCCCTAATCTCCTTGTGCAACTCTAAATGGAAACTGTTCGTGCCAATGTAAACTTTCTTGTTTACCAAAGTGTAAAATTTACTGTAGCATATAAAAAAAAAGAAAAACCAACAAAACTCTAGTTACCATAGCATGCTGTAGTGAAAATAGTAGCAGAAAACTAGTTACACCTTAAAGAAAACAAGGGCTGTTGAGGTTACACTATGTTTTGGTTATTTTGTGTAACATAAATACAAATACATAAATATTGATGTTCTACTTTTTGCTATTTAGAGAATTGGAGCTCAGTTCACAGGTTGCTTCCCTAAAATATTCTTGGGTGCATACCCTGCAAACAGAGCTAGATAAGCAAGTGCTTGTTCGCAGTGGTGCTCCACGGGCACTGAAGGTGTTCCAGCATTCTCAGTATAACTCCATCTCTTTTTTTCCAAGCAACAACCCTATAATTTCTTCTTAACCAAAATGCCAGAGCATTTGGAAGTTAGCCAGCATCCTAGGGTTTAGCAGAGCTAGTCACAACATGATCTTGCAAGTACAGTCAGTTTATTTCCTACTCAGATGGCTGGAGTTCTGTGTATCAGATTGCACTCAGTTTTGATTACTGGGTTTTAGCACTTTCATTAAAGTAACGTGACCCTTATTAGTTCTTGTCATTTTTCCACGTGCAGCCAAAGCTGTGTTAACTGATTTCTAAAGTTGTTTTTTAATGAGACTGTATTATTTAAAGTTTACTTCCCAATTCCTTTCCTGTGATACTTCACTTTAAAAATAAATTTAAAAAAATATTCTAATGGCATTGAACAATCCTTTGCTAAGAATACAGTGTACAAAACTGTCCAAAAATAATATTCCATGGAACTTTGAACAATTATTATCTACACTCTTGCTTCAGTTGTTTTAAGAGTTTAGGTTTATAATGATACATGTTAAAGTTAGATCTATTATTGTTATGAGAACTATGATGTAGCCAAAATATTTGAAGTCAAACTCAGCAGCACAAGAGCGCAGATTTGTAAATAAAATAGCATTTATGAGAGAACACTGTCCTTTTCTAATGATTAAAAACTGTCAAAAGTTTAGCCCTTAGACACACGCAAAAGTAACTTAAAGACTATTTTTGCTAAAAAGGTTCCTTAAAATTCACAGGCCTTTAAAGTACAAAATGTTCAAAGGTTGCATGCCTTCAGAAAAGGTTGATTAGACCATCAATATAAAGAAAATAACGGTTGTCTGTGCAAAACAGTCTTGAATTGTTTTTGAAGGCTAAATAAATTGGTATCTTAGCAGTTTTAAATCCTGTCAAATATATAGCTTGATAAAGAAAAGTTAATACTGAATCCATTATTACACGTATTTTGTTAATCAAGGACTATTGTAAGACCTCAATTCAATAACAGAAATCCCTATTTTATAGAACCTAAGATTTTCAAAGCATTCTCCAAAGCAGCCTTAGTGTTTCTCCACTGGCAAGCTCCATGTACCACTACTCAGCAGCAGAAGGCCAAGAACCGAAAGGTTAAGATTGGTATGCTCAAGTGGGCATTAGAAGTTGGTAGGACAGCCAGAAATAGAATCTGGATCTGGCTGTTCACCACGCATTTATCCAGGAGACCACCCCTCTCTGGCTTGGCTGAAGAAGTTTTGTACGGCCCTCAGACTTAGGGAGTCCACTTCTTTAAAAATCTTTTCTTCTTGAAATGTACAACACATTATCCACAAAAGGAACTCCGCTTTACGCTTTTGTTTGCTTTTAAAATGTTTTTGATTGTGAATGTTCCAAACTACGAGCTACCAGTCATCCCTACCATGCTTTCATTAACTACTCTGTGTCCCTTCACCTAACGCTTACGTATGGCTTCTTCACCAGGCTGGCTGTTTCCCAAAACCCCGAGAAACTTTCTGTGTGGTCACAGGAACACTACTGACTTAAGCATACATTTCAGTGGGCATCTGCCATTTTCCCTATCTGCAAATATAATGCAGCTTACACAGAATTAATCACAAATCCCATCGAAGCCAGCTTCAAATGTTTTGTCAGTGTAGCTTGGTAGATAACACCTTGAAATGTTCGTTCAGATCAAAACTGGAGTTACCAGAGAGGCTGTTACAATGAATTCATTGCATTTCTGGCTTAAAAGGTAGGACCATGTATTGGCTGCAAAACACCACGTAGGGCTTCAGATAGACCATGTAGATTTATGGCATCATGAGGCTGTACTTTCACTGGCATATATTTTATTACTGAAGGTTCTTAGGAAGAATTAAGGCAACAGCCTCACTGTTGGCCTGTTTATTCCAGGATGTTGCATTAGTCTCTGAACTTTAGCAAGCGCCAGTGCTCCGTGAACTGTTAAAGTTACCTTAAATACATGTATTCCAATTCTTGTCAGAGGCTTCTTGGAGGTCAGATACTAAAGAAAAACTTGTAAGTTGTTTTAAATCTTTTTTGTTTGGGGGTATATAAGAAATTGATACCCAATTTCTAGCTATTGAAAAATACATATATTGCTGCTTCAGCCCTAGTATTACATATATTTAGTGAGCTGTTAGTATTTTTTCCAGGAAGAACAAATACCTCCAGTGTTGTAAACTGTCATAGTGCATATTGTACAGTTGTTTTATACAACCGCTTTTAAAGTGATTTGCTATATTAACTATAACTATTGCCATATGTATTTTGGTTACAGAATGGAGATGGCACCATCGACTTCAGAGAGTATGTAATTGGTTTGTCTATTCTTTGTAACCCTGCCAACACAGAAGAGACTATTCGGATGGCATTTAAGGTAAGTTCAATTTAGTGTAAATCTACAAATCTGACAAATCAAGATTGACTACAAATCTGTTAGCTTTCAAATCATAAGTTTATAGCTTCAATCTGTTATGCAAATGTGAGTAATACTCTTAAACCAATTGACATTTAGCGTGTGAAGGGGAGAGAGAGAATTGCAGGCATCAGCTTCATAGAAAAGGGTTTCAAAAGCCATGTAAAGGCACTAATGAATATGTAACTTGGCAGGATAACTCCAAAAATGATTCAGCAGCACTTGCGGGTTTTTCGCCTGAGGTTTTTTCTCTGTCATTCTTCAGTGTCACAAGTAGACAATAGATGGAGCAATATCCTCTTGTGGGTCAAGCGCTCAGTAAAGTCACTGTTGTTAACAAAGAGGAGGGGAAAAAAAAATCCGAAGGGCTGCTCAGGACTGGCACCTCCAAAATTGGGCTGCATCTAAGATCATCTATTGGCTTGTACTATGGTGTCCTGGTAGTATAAGCAGTCAAGGAGCAGTTGCTCCTTTCAGATCTCGGGTATGAGCAGGCAGTACATGACCAGGGATGCCCAGGTTGTGAATCCCTGAATAGGAAAATGCTCGAGTGACCTATTTTTTTCTGTAGATTCAGTTATTTTACCCACTGATCTGTTCTTATGAAACATACTGAACAATATATTGAGATATGGGTCACGTTAATCTTAAACTGGATACTTTTTAGTACTGATGTGTACTTGGGAAGTACCAGAATTTTTATGGCAAACCGTTATATCCATTGGCTGCTTTACAGAGAAGCGCTACAGCTGTTCCAAAGTGATTTGTGCTTTTTCAGGGATGTTTTATCAGTACAGATTCCTATGAAGAAGCAAGCCTAGCAGCTATTGTTGCTGTTTCATTGTTTTGTTTTCTAGACCACCCTCTTCCATATCTTAACAGTTGTGCTGATTATAAAATCAGTAATTTGTTTTAATTCCCAGTTTCAGTGGGAAATGACTGGTTCAGCTCGTAAAAGCCTGTTTGAGTCTGAAGTGGAACTGTGGGTTTCCTTTTGCTACTTGTTTTCTCTGCCACTAAATGTGCTTCCCTTTGCAATGGAAAAGCTTGCCTGTAGCAAGTACTGAAGAATTACAGCTAGCCATCCCTTGTATTTCTCAAGGGGTTGACTCATAGCAGATGGTTACTGTCACTGCGCTGGGAAGGATGGGATGATCGGTGTACATCGACTGCCTGCATTCCAGTCACAAAAATTCCTTGTTAATTACAATAATTCCTTAGTGGGTGACAGATCACATATACTAAAATTCAGGTATTTTATGTCAGAGCATAAACTATGGCAAATTTAATCCAGTGGCAGATGTGGCATAACTGAATGAAAATGAAGTCTAAAACCTAACATGTTCCAGTATACAGTGGCTGAATCCAGTAGACCCTTAGCATAGCTCATGGTCACAACTAACACAAACTAACACTTTGCTTATGCTTTCTTTTTACCACTTTTGTATGAATTTGATTAATGAACTAATGCTGTGAAGTTTGTTTGTTGTTGCAGGTTTGCTACATAACTTCTGTTAGAGAATACTCTAATCCCAACTATAGCATGTACATTGCTTTGCTAAGTGTCTGTTTAGTCTTATTCCAGAGAAAATGCATAAAAACTTTTGCAAGAGAAAATAGCTGAGATGCAACCAGTCTCTTCAAATCCCAGGCACTGTTTGCAGATCACCTCTTGAATACTAGAAGCCTAATACGGGTGGCTGATGTGCACAGAAGGTTCATAGGCAAACTGATTCTAAAGTATGTCTACATGTAATGTCTTTTCCAGCTCTTTGACATGGATGAGGATGGCACTATAACGGAAGATGAGTTTGCTTGTATCATTCAGTCAGCTCTGGGGGTGCCTGAGCTTGATGTTTCTATGCTCTTTAAAGAAATAGATGCAGATGAAACTGGGAAGCTGTCCTATGGTAAGTTACGTCCTTTTGTAACGAAGAGCGCTCTGCTAGTCATATTGCCAGTGAGCGCTTCCTGCCTTTTTTCTCCCTGAAGTTATCTGATGGTCCTCACACCCTGTTTCTGGGGAAAACTTTTGAAGCACAGACCTACACACTTTGTGTGATTTGCCTGAGATGCGTCAGAGGAAAGTAACTGGAGACCAGCTACAGTAAAAGCAATAGGCACTGACATTTTCTTCGATTCTGTTGCTGCACTATAGTGTCTCTATTTTATATCTTTCAGATGAGTTCAAGAACTTTGCACTCAAGCATCCAGAATATGCCAAGCTGTTTACTACATACCTAGATCTACAGAGATACCAGTCAGATATGTTGGAGGAGGATGACATTGAGACACCTGAAGTCAAACACAGTCCAGTTAAAAAGAGTGCAATCCCAGTCTCAGCAACAACACCGACTGCAAGAAATAAAGTTTGTCCTGAAGGCAATGAAGAGAATAACTCAAGTACCTCTGACAAAAAGGATGACTGAGAAGAGTTAAAGAATTCAGCTCTTGAATTCTACAGGATGTTTTTTCGTAGCTATTTGTAAGCACAATTGATACAAAATAGAGATGGAAGTTACAACTAAAAAAAAAAAAAAAAAAGGTTTTTTTTTTTTTTTTTTCACACACGGGGGTGTTTTTACGTAAGCTGAAATCCTGGTTGATGAATGAAAAAATGAAGAGATACTGAAAAAAGGTTTTAAATTTAAAAAAAAAAAAAAAAAAAAAAAAGGTTGTTTTTTTTTTACTTTCATACCAGGAGGAGTTATTCCTGTTGAGTGTAAGGGAAAAATCACTGTAACTATTCTGTCCTTGATGTCAGTATCACAATACTGGGAATGTTGGTCACTGTCTTCCAAGTTCATGTTTCCACAAAAGTGACAGCTGTGCAAAGAAGGGTAAGAGGCTCCGGCGCTGCAGTGACCTCTCAGAAAGGAGACTGAGGAGTCCACTTGTGTTAAAACAAGTGGAATTTTTGGTGCTGCTCAATTCCTTTGCATCCCCAACATGTCTTAAGGGGAAAAAATGATGCTAGTGTTTTAATTTGCAATATCCCTTAACCTTTCTCAAGTTTCTGAGACAGAAATGAGTTACAAGAAGCTGAGAACTGAAGCTGATGTTTTCTTTTAGCTGCCCTTAACTACTTGTGAACTCTAAAGCCTAAGCTTCTGAACAAGACAAGCCTATTCACTGATGTTAACAGGAACAGCTTTTGGCTTAAAGGCTAGTTAAAGGTGGAAATGGCTGCACTTCTAACAACAAAAAGCTCATTGGATTTCCAAGATAGCAGCCCACAGTCTACAGGAAAATGCAGACAATAAGACCCAAGAATTAATGGACTATTTCAAAATAAATAGAATGTTGTTTACAGTAACAACTGTTCAGGATCGCATTAACAGGAATATTTCAAACTTCAGCATGTTTTTATTCTAGTAATTATCAACAGAGGAATGTGACCTCGCTCTGCAAAACTTAAAAAGGCAAATATGCTGTCAAGCCATAGTTCTAGTAGTTAGTATCTACTCTGAAGTTGTCTCCTAGAAACCATGTTTGCATTACTATGCCATTACTCAATATGTTCTTAGAGTTTGATTCAAAACCAAGCTCTTTCTAGTCAATGATTTGAGTATGTTTTGCCTCAGTCCCCTCTAGTGCACTGGAAGTTGGGCCTTTACCTTTTTCCGTCCTTCACCTTAATGCACTTTATACAGTATTTAAAATATACAGGTATTTATGCAAATAACTTGAAAATAAAAACTTGGAAGGGGTGGAATGGCAGGATATTTTCAAATTAAAACTGAGATCAGCAAAGTCTAGAATGTCTAGTACCAAAAATAACCGTTTTTCAGCAGGTTCCATATGTGAAGTGGTAACCTGTGCCTCTGAGTTATTGCTTGCAATGTCTGGCTGCAAGTTCATTGCCGTGTTTAATCTTTCTGTGTTTATAATTGTGCCTATCCTGATGTTCCACATGCTTAAAATAAATCTATATTTTTAAAAGACTTTACTTGAACAGCTAAGTTTTTTTAGTACAGTGGGAAGGGCACTCTGTCTACCTTAAGGGGCTGGGGGGATTTCCAGGAAATCACTCTTAGGATGTCTGACCTTGATAAACACAATGCAACCCAAAGTTGGCATTTTTAGTTCTGAGTGTGGTGACACTTTTCTTTATGGTAAGGGTAGAAAAGTAGGACAGGACTGATGCTCTTCCAAAGAGTTACTTCTGCTGGCTATCTCAAGAGCGGATATGATACAAAGAAGATCTGCAGGTACATGGAGAGACAGCACTGTTTTCTGATGGAAAATAAAGCATTGCCATTTACAGGTAAAATGAGTGACCTCAATCATAGCTGAGAAGTAACAATCATGGTTTTGTGTAATATGAACATTAGGAGAGGATTTTCTTTCACTTTAGAGAAAGAGGTGGAGCAGTTACCCTAACCTGGCTGTACAGTTAGCTGGAATACATCTTAATTCCTTGGCAAGGATGCTTTTGCCTAGCATGTTAACCAAAGTCCACAGCTTTTCAACCAGCAGTAATCTAAGACTTCTATTCCAACCAGCGAGAAAAAGATAGGTGGGCAAAGATGACAGACAACCACTTCAAGATCTTGGAATGCCAAGGTTGCCTTACACATGCTCCTGTTGAATCCAGCCACATTCAACAGCTGGAGCACTACACTGCCCAGTAGTGCAGCATATTTAGGACTAGTGATTTTATAAAAACCTGCAAGTCACACAAGCGCTTGTCAATTAAAGCTAAAAATACTGTCTATATAAATCTACGTATCCCAGTAGTTTAAGGAAGAAAGGCCACAAATGGGTTTGGTATGTAGCAGTGATTCAACTATGCTCTGAAAAGAAATCAGCTAAACGTTAGAGACACTAACTCAATATACACACATCTGCTTGATGTGCGGGAAGGGAATACATTAATTTCTAGGCATCATTGTGCCTCGGGGAGCTTTTAAAAGGACCAAACTAAAAGCAGTCTGCAATAAACGGGCATTACATTAAGTGGCAGAGCAGGAACTAAAGAGAAGGAGAAGGTTAAAAATACTAAACAGAAAATGGCTCTCAATCAGGCATTGAGGAATGACACCTTTCTGCCTGAGACTTCCTGATGTGCAAGTTCTTAATTCTGCGGGGTGCTTCAGAATCACTTTGAGTCCTGCAAGAAAGGTATATTCGGTCCCGTGTCATCATAGGAAACATCATTTATTTAATCAGTACTCTGTCATGCTGTAACAAGGATTTTATGATAAATCCTTACCAAAATAAAATACTGTAAAGTATACAGAAACTCTAGCAATCTTAACTGAACAAAGGTGAGAACCAGACGAGGACAAGCTTGTTGCAAGAGGAAAACACAACTAATTCTCAAGAACAGAGGCCCGTGGGCTGCTGGTTTTCACGTTTTCTGATAACTTTGTACATACACTGTGAATAAATCTCATTTACATTTTTTCAAAGCTAGGCTCCTGTTTCCAAACACATGAAAGGCAATGGCAGGTCACCTAGAAAAGTGGACCTTCCTCGTTCACCCTGGAACAAGGAAGATATTAATACTGTAAATCCTGATCAATTCGTTAAAGGAAGGTGAATCAACAGGGACTCCGCTGGCCACACCAGAGGTTGATTTCTGAGGGGAAGATCTTCTGACCCAAGAAAGTTAAAACTGTATTTGTACTTTCTCTGCTGTGTCAGTGACACTGCCTAAATACAGAAATAGAGATAATGCATGCAGGTTTCATGTCAGATCATACTGCTCTGAGATCTGGTCCTAAACTGCCAAAATGACACAGGTCCTGGCTGGTTGCTGTCCATCAGTAGACCTATGAGGGAGCAGTAACACTGCTGGAAAGCATCCGAAAATGGATCTCCTGTTTTCACAGCCATCAGCTGTGCAGCATCAGGCAGAGGTACCAAGCCAGGCAGCAGCTGCTGCTTCTGAGCTTTTGTACTCATCTACATCAGAACAAGTTAGGTGCCAAATTGTACTCCCACAATGTTCCTGTGGGTGTTACCTCCTCTCCCTTATCAGCTTGCTCCATAAAGGGAGGTGGGATGGGGGGAAGTTCAGGGATTCCCAAACGGTTTGCAAGGGCAATTTTGCAAGTCAACTGTGTGCTCTGCCTGTTCAGTCACTAATGACCATTCCTAGGACTGCTGCACAGACTGCTTGGCCACATCTCTCATCTGCCTAGCAATTCCCATCTAAAACAAAGTCTTCCCTGGGTACCAGAAATCTGAGAAACATTAGTTGAGATCTTTTTTTTTTCTATGGCGGTCAGCATACCAGGGCCCTATTCCTGGGTAATTCCTCAGGCGCTATGCCAGTGCAAATAAATACACCATTCTGCCTGAGCAGGCTTCCAGTGGTGTTTGCATAGGTGCCAAGGGCTACTCAGAATGCATGGATGTGGAAAATCGGGGCCTGAAGCTTAGAAACTAAATGTAACAAATGTCATTACATAGAGAAACACACCCATACTCTTTGGACAGTCTGCCTGTGAACTGTTTGACCACAGCCTGCAACAAGGAAAGCAGCCTGAGATTTCATGCTGAGAATTACATAGCTCTCCATTTGAGATTTCCACAGGAAAAATTCAAGACTGATTTTTAAGAAATGTTTGGGAGGTTTGTAGTTACACTCTGTATGACCTGCTAGGAAGGTTGGACTCCAGTCAGCAGCCGTGGGTTTACATTTTTCCTGTCGGTTTTGCACCCCTTGGATCAGCCTACCTTTCTCTCTACTTTCTCCCTCCACATTTCTGCCTAAAACACAGCCGCTACCATCAAAACCTGTATTCCAGAATGGTTAAAGTTAAGAAATTGTAAGATTAAAACATAAAAATTACTGAATTGGGTGGGATTCAGGGGGCACACGTGGTATTCAAGTAACTACTTTTTCTGGCCTGCAGTAAGAGCAAACTTGTCAAAGGTTGCAGGGGATTTTAATGACATTTAATTAATTAATTTTAAATCTTTACTCAATGAAATAACATTTATTAGACTGACTAGCAGTAGGGAGACGTTTGTCAGCAGTGCTTAAGTTGGCAGACTCTCTGTTACTATACATAGCCAGAGAGGCAGAAAGTAAACATCTTATAGGATTAGCAGCTATGTTCATAGCTGAGATGAAATTTGGACATTTCATTAGTATAAGATTGATTCTGACATTTCATAAAGCCAAAATGCAAACAAAAAAATGTGTCTGATATAAATACAGTATGCGGCACTTACTCAGATAAAGTTCAAGAAGCGCAGCAGGTTTAGTGCCATGACAAAGGAAATACAGAAGGGTCATTTAAGGACCCAACTTCAGCGAAGCACTTAAGTGTCTGCTTCATCCTGTGGGCATTACTCAGACACTTTGTACTCATTAAAAGCACACAATACTACTAATAATTGGAAAACATGAAACATTTCCATGGCTAGTTATCGTTAATGGTGGTAAAAATTACATCACCCTCACCAAGGAAAACAGTATCACAGTTGATTAAATTTTATGAAAGTTTTCATTTATTGTACCACCCTCTTAGTTTAAGATATACTGTAGCAACCACAGCTTGACTGGTGAGACTTTAGAGACACGTGCCAATGTTGTAATAGGAAATACTTCTTTGCCTTCGCTAGGCACTACGTACTGTTGTCTTTTTTAAGCCCCCTGTGCCACAACAGGTTGTAAGTAAATATATGCCCCTCTTCCATTCTCACACCGCGATTATCCTACGTTTCCATGCTACTACATGCTTTCATGTGCTAAAACTTTTTTAATCAGTGTATTTTCTAGATAGTCTAATACAAACTTGCTGTTGAAAATCTTCTTTTGCATGTTAAAATGAGGTTTAAGTGAGGCTCATCTTAAAAGCTACACCTGCATGCTCATTGCTTTGTTCTAAACTGGGCATAGGTAAGAGTGAGCATGTTTCCCAGTTTCTAGAAGTCTCCTTGAGTGTGTTTTCTCTTGAGGTTATGCAATGGCTGTGTGAGACTCATTTCAGCAGCATAACAGTACTACAACTACAACAGGAATATTCAAACCAGTCACGGCTTTTATATAGGAGATCAGAGATTTGAATTTTCTAGGAATTTCTAGCAAAATTGAGGCATTTTGAGAATGCTGCTTAGCTTATGCTTCATTGTGAATTTGTTATTAGCAAGAATACCCAATAAACACACACAAAAAATTATTCCCTTCCTATAATCCCAGCAAATAGAATTTGTTTGCAGAAGTGAGAATTCATTAGATTAAACCTGTCCTTAAAGGCCTCCACAGAGGAAGACTGCCCAGCCTTGCCATCTAGTCCATTGCTTAACATTTTCTACTGTTAGAGAAGTTTTTCTCCTGGTCTAACCTGAATACTTCTGTAGCTGAAGTCACTAGGTCTCGTGCTCACCTTGCTCAGAAATGAGCCAATCCTCTTTGGATCCAAAGAGCTTATCATCACACCCGCTTCACTCTTGCATCTCCCAGCCTGCCCTTCTTAAGCCAAGAAGCAAGACCTCTTTCATTCTGTCCTCACAAGTTGCACTTTCTAGAATTGTGTTTATTTTAAGTTCTCCAGAGATAGCGCTTCAGCTCCAGCCCTACCATCCCTCAGTAGAGTAAAGGCTTTCTTTACATAGTTTGCAGTCAATATTCCTGCAGTTATCTTAGCTTTATCCTTACTGAATTTAAATGATCAGTTTATCGAGAACATTTTGATCAGATCAGATTATTGTTAAAAAGAACTTTCTTCTAAAAAAAAAATTACTTCCCTTTTGTTAAGGACATTATCTTCCTAAAAACTTCACTAAGCATCTGACAGTGCACTGGAAGCAAAGCACTACAAATTAGAGAGACATGATGAAAGCTTAGAGGCTATAATTGTTCAAAAAGAATAATTTCCTTTTCAAAGGTAAACATCAGCCTTGCAGACAAAGATAAGGCCAAGTGCACAATTAGATACAAAAGTCTGT